CCTCGGCCTCCCAAAGTGCTGGGATTACAGGCATGAGCCACCGCACCTGGCCTGCTAATTTTTATATATATTTAGTGTTTGATGAGTTGCTGATTTTTTAAAATTACCTTTTCACAACATTATAAATTGAAGAATGGAATAATATTTGGTTGAAACTATACCAATGAGGCTGGGCTTGGTGGCTTATGCCTGTAATCCCAGCACTTTGGGAGGTTGGGGTAGGTGGATCATCTGAGGTCAGGAGTTCAAGACCAGCCTGGTCAACTTAGTGAAACCCCATCTCTACTAAAATTACAAAAATTAGGTGGGTGTGGTAGCAATCATCTGTAGTCCTAGCTACTCAGGAGGTTGAGGCAAGAGAATCGCTTGAACTGGGGAGGTAGAGGTTGCAGTGAGTCAAGATTGTGCCACTGCACTCTAGCCTGGGTGACAGAGCAAGACTCCATTTCAAAAAAAAAAAATACACAAAAACACACACACACCTACACACACACACACGCACACACACACACCTCCCACTCCCAAGAGCCTGATACATTAATCAGTGATGTGGCTTGCTGATTTGTTTTCACTCTATAGTAAGTCAACTTCTTCTCCTGGTTTTAGGAGCTGTGGATCTGGATGCCTTAACAGATGAGAAAGAAAGAAAAGCCTTAGAAGGGATGATTAATAATTTCGGGCAAACACCTTGTCAACTGTTAAAGGTAAGTCATATATGTTATCGACAACTTAAGAAGTCTAATAATTGAATTACTAAGGAATAGTATTACCAGTATTTTTAAGGATATTAAGGATTTTAATGAGTAAACCCTTATTTTGGAATTCCCATCTAGAATTGAAAAAAAATTATAGTCACTTAAAAATTAGATTTAAGTCATTTTTATTTTTATATAACAAAATATTGCAGTCAAAATCCATATATATAGCCAATTACTCTCAGTCCCAGAAAGACTTCTATTTGCTCAGAAAGCCTTGTATTATTTACAAGAAGAAAAACTGAGTACCAATTAGCATATGCCATTAAAACTCCTCATATTGGGACTCGTTCCACATGTAAAACTTCTAATAGCTAACATCTGCCCAAAAAGGCACTTACTTTCCAGAGCCCAAACCCGGTCCTAAGAATCAAATTATAGAATATTTAAAATGTAGAATCAAATTATTACATATTACTATGTATGTTTCTTTCCCCATACTAGTATCTGAAATTAAATCATCTTCCTGATGACACACAGGTTTGGATTCATGGAAATTCTAATGTTTTCAAAGATGTCTTGATCTTTTTTAGTATATGAATTCAGCAATATGGAATACACAAAAAGTATATATCATTTATTAAGTAGATACTTTCTTAAGCAATCACTGTGTTAGGTACTTTACCTAATTCTCATAGTAAAAATCCAGTTATCCTCATTTTTTAACAGATAAAGCCAAGCCTCACAGAAAGTAATACCTGGCCTATAATGCCTTTGAGAAATCACATACTTTTCTAAGTTTACACAACAAGAAAGATTAGGATTATATGCCTGACCTCCTAACTCCAAAGTCTTTCTAGCATGTCATGTTTTCTCTGAATTAGTAGCTGTAAGCCTCCTGTTAAACTAGATCTCCTAAATGTTCTTATGGGCCTTTGTTTGCTACCTAATTATGACACTTGCTGCCTTAGGTTGTATATTTATCCATTTGCCTCAGTACGTTATAAATATATTAAAGGCAGCAACTTTCTCTTAATCATCTTTGTATGTCTTTTGAATATAGTAGATATACAGTATTGAATTGAAATCGTCACAGCTATTACAACAGTAAATGTAGCTAAGCTCTAACTTGTAGGTGTACTTCTGTCAATATAGAATTGGGCTAAGCTTTGTAATTGTTACTGTTCCTTTGCAACAGTTTGCGTGGAATCTCCAACACTGGTTTTTACAAAATTGTCATATATAAAGTCAATGCTTTATCCCTTACGTTCTGGTACAGTCAGAAGGCAAAAGTAACAGACTAAAACAGAATGCTTCATAGGGCTTTGAAATAGATGCTATCATTTTTATACCTGTTTTCCCTTTCTTTTTGTTTGCAAGTGGCGCTAGTTTTTATTTTCACTAAAAATGATACAAAAATCAGCCTTTGATTTGAAATAAAGTGAATAATATTTATTAAAAACTAATTTTTTTTTCTTGAAATGGAGTTTCACTCTTGTTGCCCAGGCTGGAGTGCAGTGGCATGATCTCGGCTCACTGCAACCTCTGCCTCCCAGGTTCAAGCAATTCTTCTGCCTCAGCCTCCCAAATAGCTGGGATTATAGGCGCCTAGCACCATGCCCAGCTAATTTTTTGTATTTTTAGTAGAGACAGGGTTTTGAGACCAACATGGGCAGGCTGGTCTCAAACTCCTGACCTCAGGTGACCTGCCTGCCTCGGTCTCCCAAAGTGCTGGGATTACAGGTGTGAGCCACCATGCCCAGTTTAAAAGCTAAATATTTTAGTGCTTATAGCTTTCACATCTATTGCCTATAATCAGTATTTTGTTGTAGAGATGCAAGACTTTACTTTAGATAGAATTCTGTTCTGCCTTTTAACTGTGCCTTTGGAATGTTCATTTTATTTGTCCTTTATTTCATTTTTATGTGAAAATATAGTTCAGGGAGGTGTTGAAACAGATGATACTGTTCTGTGTTTCTGACATGAAAGTTGAGGAAGAATAACTTATTTGAAAAGAATGCAGCAGAACCTGTAATTCTGTTAGTATTGACTTTTCTTTTTCTTTTTTTTTTTTTTGAAACAGAGTCTCACTCTGTAACCCAGGCTGGAGTGCAGTGGCACGATCTTGGCTCACTGCAATTTCCATCTTGCAGGTTCAAGTGATTCTCCTGCCTCAGTCTCCCAAGTAGCTGTGACTACACCACCATGCTTGGCTAATTTTTGTATTTTTAGTAGAGACATGGTTTCACCACGTTGGCCAGTCTGGTCTTGAACTCCTGACCTCAAATAATCTGCCCGCCTCGGCCTCCCAAAGTGCTAGGATTTCAGGCGTGAGCCACTGTGCCCAGCCAGTGTTAACATTTTGACCTTGTTCAAGGAATTAAAGATTCATCCAAATTATACATTTTGAATTTTGAATACTACATTTAATTTTACCAGTATCTAACATGTGTAAGATATTGGTCTAGTATGGAAATCCAAAAATGAATAAGGCTTCTCTAGCTTTAAGGCACTTGTAGCTTAGTTGGGGAAGACAGACCATAAACAACTATATGTAATTCAATATGGAAAGAAATAAATTATAAATAAAATATAAATTATTGGCCAAGGGAAAATAATAAAAAAGAATAATAAATTCTGATTTAAAAATTTAGGAGAGATATCAGTAAGAAAAACTTTAATTTAGGAGAGATATCAGTAAGAAAAACTTTAAAGTAGAAGTGGAGTTTCCAAAGAAGTGGAGAAAGTAGTAACTCTGCTAAGAGAATAGTCTCAGCCTATGCCTGGAATTGTGAACAATGCATGGTATGAAATTCATTGTAGCTAGAGCCTACTGTATATGAAGGAACACAGAGAGAGATGAATAATATAGATATGGAATTGTTTTTCCTTAAAATTATTTTGAAGGAACCACACCCTCCAAGATTATCAGCAGAAGAAGCAGTACAGAAGCCGACCAAAATAGACACTTCAACCCTAAACCTGTTTCAACACCTCCCTGAACTCAAGTCATTTTTTATAGAGGTAATATCCAACTTGGTAATATCAAAGGGTTTTGTCTAAATTCTGTACATTTTAAAGTTCTTTTACTATTTAATGGGAGGGAAGGATTATAATATTTAATTTAAGACAGTAAACTATATCGTAATCAACTTTTCTTGGATTTTTAAAAGATTTTTATTGAAAGCTTTTATTTGCTGCTGAGTGGTAGTCTGAACTGTTTTTCTTGGCTTTCTTTCATCTACTTCACATTTTCCTGACAGGGAAGAACAAATAATTTGATTTAAAATGCTTTTTTTGACCATCAAGATGATATGTAGATGGAGATAATAATAACTCTTAATTATAATATCTGATCATATATAAATTAGGTCCTAATAAGTCACATTGTTAATTGATAGAATGAGTAGTCAAGTAAAACAGGAATAGTTAGTGATATAATTGAGAGAGTTTAAGTAAAAAACTCAAATGTTTAAATATACATATTGAATTACTTTGGGAAATTTAGAATGTGATTAGAAAATGCATTCATACCTGTGAATGTGGTTAGGACAGATAGCACCCTTCACAAAAAGAAAATTAAAGATAAAAAGTTGCTAAGATTAGTTTGAAGATATACATAGAACAGTATTTGCAATACAGCAGAGGTTGGTAAACTTTTTCTTCTTTCAAATAATAACTTATTTGGAAAGTATGCAGCGGTGAGTTAGGTCTAACTGATAACTATTCTGGGCTTTTCAGGCCAAAAGGCAAAATCAAAGATATTCTGTAGGTGCATATATAACTACTTAAAATGTAGTCATCTAAAAATATAAAATCTGTTCTTAGCTCACTCACCACCTACAAAACAGGCAGTGGGCTGGCTTTATCCCTCAGGCTGTGGTTTGTAAAACCCTGCGTTAGAGTACCACTGCAAGTGTTTCTCAGATTCAATACCATGGGAAAAAATTTTTTGATAGGATTTGTTGCTGCTAAGCGGTGGTCTGAACTGTTTTTCTTGGCTTTCTTTCATCTACTTCACATTTTCTTCACAAGGAAGAACAAATAATTTGATTTAAAATGCTTTTTGTGACAGTCAAGATGATATGTAGATGGAAATAATAGCTCTTAATTATAATGCCTGCTCATATATAAAATAGGTCCTAATAAGTCACATTGTTAGTTGATAGAATGAGTAGTCAAATAGAACAGTCGTAGAATTACTCTACAAAATAGAATTTTTTGATAATTCATTTCTCATGGAATTCAACAGGTAGTTGTACACATGGCTCATGAGATTTATTACAGTGCAAGGATACAAAGCAACATCAGCAAAGGGAAAAGGCACATGGTGTGAAGTGCAGGGGAAGCCAGGTACAAGTGTCCAAGAGACTTCTCCTCGTGGAGTCACATAAGATATACTTAATTCTTTCAGTAATCAAATGTGGAAACACATTTTTTGTCATCAGAGAAGCTCAGTAGAGACCCAGTGCCCAAGGTTTTTATTGGAGGCTGGTCATGTATATATACATCCCTCTGCCTAGCACATACCAAAATTCCATACTCCAGAAGTAAAACAAGTGTTTAGCTTAAACCATACTATTTGCACCAACAGTCTAGGTGTAATGAGCCTTATCATTGAGGGAAAGTTTTACGTCAGTATAAGGAGGAACTGTTTGCCAGCCAGGTTCCAGATGCCAACCAAAGGCCAGCCTTGCAAGTAGGCCTTTCTATAATAATGATGGCAGTCTCAGGCCTTAACTCTTTACTGCATGTAAAGCAACACATGAGACCCTATTTGACCCATAATCTGTTGGACATGCAATACTATATTTATTCTGTAGCGCCAATAGAACTATTTTTATTGTATCTTATCATTCGTGACTTATTTCGTAATATAGTACATTCCAAGTTCCATCTGGAGGTGCAACAGCAAGACATTTGCCCTTTGTAGTACCAACCATGTCACATAGTAGCTTTCCCCAGGACACGTTCAGTATCTAGATCAGTATAAAGAACACAATAGATTTCCTTGGGTACCAGTAACTTGTTAATCCCTTTTCATCTTCATAAGAGGTGTTTCCCCATATATTCATATGAAAAGAGAAGGGTTTTTGTAGATCATCTCTTCATAGGTTTTCAAGTCATGAAGAAAGTAGACATAGTAGTGAAAGCAATGGCTTAATAAATGGGTTTTTTTCAGGCATCGTTTTCATTTAGCTTGTTCAAATGGAAGTCATTCTTCTCTGGATTAATTCACAATGTGAGGAGAAAAGATAATCAGCAACTTTTTATAATTTTATAAATTATAATTAATTTCATAATTTGTTACTTAATTCCTATTAAGTTCTTAGAACAACACCTGGTACATAGTACATACCCAATAATGTTATCATTTACTTAGTAAATGTTAGGTATCACTTATGAACTATTGTCACATCAAGGAACCAAGTTCAAATTATTGTTCTCTTTCACATTGTTATAAGATAATGGCAGATGTTTTCTGACAGCTGTCTTTATTTTGTGGTACTACTGTGGCTTTCAGGAAATACCCCAGTTAATGGGTTAGATGTATTTTTTAAAATTTAGACCCAAAAGGAGATTTTTATAAATTGTGACCAATTTTCTCATTTGTCTTATTTGAGAAACATGTTCTTATATAGGATCCATATTTTCTGCTTTATGTTTATGTCAGTATAACTTAGGGTAATGTCTAAATCATTGGCTGTTTTAAATGATTGCTGCATTTTGAAATCTACATCTCTTTTTAACAGCAGAGTAGTTGAACAGAAGGTGATGGGTTTCAGAAGTTTCATGTATGCCATGTATACATGGTATATGATTCCTTTCCTTAATTTTAAATTAATTGATTATATACTTCAAGAGAATAAAATGATGTATCATAGGATTCATCCTTATTTAAAGAAATAGAAGCTTTCAGTAATTTGTACCTAATAAAGATGAGCAGAATCAGCCACTAAACCTCTTTTATTTTATAGGGGATTAGTGATGGTATTCCACTATTAAAGGCCACTGTCCCCAAAAATCAGTATCGTTCTTTTATGTCTCAAGGCAGCCCTGAGTTACTGGTAAGTTGATTTTTACCTTTTTCACACTGTCATGTCTATATGTATTACAACTTGGGGAAAAAAAAGAGAAAGGAGGAAGTAAATTTTTTTGTTTTGTTTTTATTTTTTATTGTACTTTAAGCTCTGGGGTACATGTGCACATCCTGCAGGATTATTGCATAGGTATACACATGCCGTGGTGGTTTGCTGTCTCCATCCCCCCATCACCTACATCAGGCATTTCTCCCAGTGTTATCGTTCCCCAACCTCCCTGCTCCCTACTCTCTCTCCCCTCCCCTCCCCCCTGCCTTCCCCCACACCGCCTGTCCCCATGTGTGATGTTTCCTTCCCTGTGCCCATGTTTTTTCATTGTTCATCAGCTGCCTGTGAGTGAAAACATGCAGTGTTTGGTTTTATGTTCTTGTGTCAGTTTGCTGAGAATTATGGTTTCCAGATTCATCCATGTCCCTCCAAAGGACATGAACTCATCCTTTTTATGGCTGCATAGTATTCCATGGTGTATATGTGCCACATTTTCTTTGTCCAGTCTATCATTGATGGGCATTTGGGTTGCTTTCAGGTCTTTGCTATTGTAAACAGTGCTGCAGTGAACATACGTGTGCATGTGTCTTTATAATAAAATGATTTACAATCCTTTGGGTATCTACCCAGTAATGGGATTGCTGGGTCAAATGATGTTTCTATTTCTAGGTCCTTGAGGAATCGCCATACTGTCTTCCACAATGGTTGAATTAATTTACACTCCCACCAACAGTGCAAAAGTGTTCCCATTTCTTCACATCCTCTCCAGCATCTGTTGTCTGCAGATTTTTTAATGATCACCATTCTAACAGGCATGAGATGGTATCTCAATGTGGTTTTTGATTTGCATTTCTCTAATAACTAGTGATGATGAGCATTTTTTCATATGTTTGTTGGCCTCATAAATGTTTTCTTTTGAAAGGTGTCTGTTCATATCCTTCACCCACTTTTGAATGGGTTTGTTTTTTTCTTGTAAATCTGCTTTAGTTCTTTGTAGGTTCTGGATATTAGCCCTTTGTCAGATGGGTAGCTTGCAAAAATTTTTCCCCATTCTGTTGGTTGCCGGTTAACTGTAGTGAAAAGTTTCTGCTGTGTAGAAACTCTTGAGTTTAATTAAGTCCCATTTGTCTATTTTGGCTTTTGTTGCCATTACTTTTGGTGTTTTAGTCATGAAGTCCTTGCCTATGCCTATGTCCTGAATGGTATTGCCTAGGTTTTCTTCTAGGGTTTTTATGATGTTAGGTCTTATGTTTAAGTCTTTGATCCATCTGGAGTTAATTTTAGTGTAAGGTGTAAGGAAGGGGTCCACTTTCAGCTGCTCATGGCTAGCCACTTTTCCCAACACCATTTATTAAACAGGGACTCCTTTCCCCATTGTTTGTTTTTGTCAGGTTTGTAAAAGATCAGATGGTTGTGGATGTGTGGTGTTACTTCTGAGGTCTGTTTTCTGTTCCATTGGTCTATATCTCTTGTTTTGGTACCAGTACCTTGCTGTTTTGATTACTGTAGCCTTGTAGTATAGTTTGAAGTCTGGTAGTGTGATGCCTCCAGCTTTGTTCTTTTTGCTTAGGCTTGTCTTGGCTATGTGGGCTCTTTTTTGGTTCCATATGAAGTTTAAGGTGGTTTTTACCAGTTCTGTGAAGAAGGTCAATGGTAGCTTGATTAATCTGTTAATTAATAGATTAAATGGTGTAGCATTTAATCTATTAATTACTTTGGGCAGTATGGCCATTTTCACGATATTGAATGGAAGTAAATATTTTTTAAAAGCTGCTTTTTGGCTGTGCACAGTGGTTCATGCCTGTAATCCCAGCACTTTGGGAAGCTGAGACAGACAGATTGCCTGAGCTCAGGAGTTCAAGACTAGCCTAAGCAACATGGGGAAACCCTGTCTCTACAAAAAAATACAGAAAATTAGCTGGGCGTGGTGGTGTGTAACTGTAGTCTCAGGTATTCGGTATTCGGGAGGCTGAGGTGGGAGGATCACCTGAGCCCTGGAAGTCAAGATTCCAGTGAACCATGATCATACTGCTGCATTCCAGCCTGGAGAACAGAGTTGGATCGTGTCTCA